CTACCTTACCTTATCTTCCACCTCATCGTCTACCTTACCTTATCTTCCACCTCATCGTCTACCTTACCTTATCTTCCACCTCATCTTCTACTTTACCTTATTTTCTACCTCATCTTCTACCTTATCTTATCTCATCTTCTACCTTACCTTATCCTCCTCCTGTAGATTCGACGCAGGGGTTTTCTTCCTCCAAATAACTGTATCATTGGTCATTTTAATCACTCCTTCTTTGATTGTCACTTTCGCAATCTCTACATTTCTTCGTTTACCTCTAACTACACTCTTAACCAACGTTCTCCTTGTTTCATAAGATTCATCCCTCATAACATGCCCAAAACATGCTAACCTTTTACTCCTTACCTTCTCTACCACTGGGGCTACTTTCAAACTTCTCATGTATCTATATATTTGTCTCTGTTCTTATAAAAATAGTATTACATCAAGATCATTCTGTGTTACTTCACTGCTGTTTATCCCTTCTCTTTGAGAGAAATGAAATAACTAAAACCATTTTGTACAGTCGTGGAAATCCGCGGTGTTCCACTTACAGAAAAATTGCCTTATATCTCGCAACGAGACAAACTCCGTTTCTTACAAATAACCAATAAGGTAGCAGTGAGTTGCATGAACTTAGGATAATGTAAAAATTTAATATGAGTAGTCGTTTCATTACATTCAAACGATATCTTGTGGAACACCTCTAGTTTCCCTAACTGTATATGTACAAACCCACAGCAATACATTGAAGAGCGTTTTCACTCAAACATAACTTTACCTACTTGTTTCAGATTATCAGATCTCCAACTTCATCAAGATGCAGCTGCACAAAGCGTACGAACAGTTCACGAGGCGCGCGATGGCCGCCTGCGGACTTAACGAGGAACTTGTACAGGTTATAACCACAATAATAACTGCCAGCGACAAGGACGTTAACGTTAATGTTTACGTTAACATAAATATGCACGTTTACGTTAATATAAACATTAACGTCAACACAAACGTTAACGTCAACATCGACGTTGGTTGTAGAGATGGACAAAATGACTATTGTCACTATAAAGAAAACAGTGATTCATATCTTTTCATCTTAGTGATTCTCTCACTCTTTTTTCATTCACTAAAAATTGTGAAATGAACTAATCAAGTCAAGAGAAATTAGGATTAAATAGAGAAATCATATCGTTTGCAATTTAAATTTCGCAATTAGCACATTTTAGATATGTTTTTTTCATTAATAACGTTTATTGTGATGTTAACGTAGAAATTGACATTAACGTTTATGTTGACGTTAACGTAGACCAGACGTCAACCTTAACGTTAACGTTGACGTTGACGTCGACATTGACGTCAACTTTAACGTTAACGTTAACGTCGACATTGACGTCAATCTTAACGTTAACGTTAACGTCGACATTGACGTCAATCTTAACGTTAACGTTGACGTTATCGCAGGCGTTGTAAACACTTATACAATTGTTTTAATTCACTTTCACAAGGAATGATCTTTTTAGATTCCCGTACGTTTTAAAGAGCCAGTGTACGGATCAATGGAGGCGCAAATGGTTGGTTTTATGGCACCGGGCGTTATGATTACGTAAGTATTCAATTTTAAACAGATTATTTTATTATTATCTTTCGCCTGCGACTTCGTCTGTGTGGAATTAAAAAAAACTTTGTGTTCTTCCAAGCTGTCCTCTACATCTGTACCAAATTTCATCGAGATTCGTACAGCCGTTTAGGCTACAAACTCTAACAAACATCCATCTAAAGTTTTGCATTTACAATATTTGTAAGGCTATGTTCTAAAAATAACTATTTAAGTTTTCCTTGTCAATGTATCATTCTATGTATTTTAAATGTCATAAGGTTTATTTAGACTTATGTAGTTTCTACAATAAACAACTATCTATACTATAAAAAGAAAATATTAGTATTTTTGTATTTGTAAAACTAATGGACCGATTTCAAAAAATCTATCACCATTAGCTACGTTATCAGTGAGTAACATAGGCTACATTTGTCTTATTACGTGCTATGTCTTGGACCGTTTTAAATAAGAGAGGGGGGCTGCTTCCCATAGTCCACTTGGACTCGATATGACATTATAAAAATTTACTAGGAAAAAAACAATAGTGTTTTTTTTTATTATAATTTTCTTTATTTCCTGCTGCTGTGTTTCTTGCAGCAACCTTGTTATTATTGTAATTTTTTTTTCTATTTTTTTTTTGTATTTTCCAACCAATTTATATTATGTATTTATACAAATACAAATACAAATATTTTATTGGTAAGACAATTACAAGTCGTTATGTTGAAAAAATTAAAATCTTTACAGATATTCTAAATAAAAATTGTGTACATACAACAATCATGGTAGAAAAAATTCTTCGACACTAGGCTTTTTGTATTAGCCATGACTTAAGTTTATTTTTAAATGACGCGAGTTAGCCTATTATATATTACGCTACCAGCCTCGAATAAAGTATATTAATATATATTATTTACATTATTATATATTATGTATTTTCCAACAAATTTGACAACCAAAAGTGTTGTAGTCTTGGGTAGTACACGTACGATGTACTAAAAAGTAATGTTACTCGGCACTGTACTAAAAGTAACGTTACCGAACGGCTTCTGTTAATCGGACATTTAGTACTTTTAGTACACTACACGATATCGGTGTTCGCCTTTTTGTCAGATTGAAGCATCCATCTTCGATAATGAGAATCAAAAGTGGATAAAATCATTGATAACTAAATTTATTTTCGCTAATAACATATGTTTGACCCTGCTTAAAATTTGATGTGAAGTAATATATAACCCTCGTTATATTCTATTCATGTATTGTGTCTTCACAAATCTGAAGTACTAAAGGTACTAAAAGAGTGTACTAGTACGTTTTCCCAATTGTACTATTACGGTGCTCACTTGCAGATGTCCGATTAAGCCCAAGACTATAGTGTTGTATTATTCCAGTATAATCTTCTTCCTGCCGGCGATCGTGACGTCGACGCTGATGATCTCCGACC